TTCTACGAACAAACCACGGGAGCAGCAATGGGATCCCCGATATCACCCATCATCGCAAACATCTTTATGGAACACTTCAAGAATGAAATCCTGAAGAAGGCCCCACAAAAACCCTCCACATGGTTCCGATACGTGGACGACACCTTCGTCATCTGGAACCACGGAAGGGAAACTCTACCTCAATTCCTCACTTTCATTAACTCCCAACACCCCAACATCCAATTCACAATGGAGACCGAACAGAATTCCCAAATCCCCTTCCTGGATGTCCTGGTCCGAAGGAACGAAGACGGCACCCTAAGCCACAACGTCTACCGCAAACCAACACACACGGACCGATACCTCCACGCAAACTCCCACCACCACCCCGCCCAAAAGAATTCGATAATCAGCTCTCTAGTCCACAGAGCACTCTCCATCTCGGAACCAGCCGCCCTGAACGGAGAGCTAAACCACCTTCACCGAACCCTGACCAGGAACGGATACAGCAGCAGTAACATCAACCGTACAATCAAGAAGCTGACCAACAAGGAACCCGGCCAGAACAACACCACGACACCAGAGACAGAGAAAGGGAAGATTAAGGCAGTAGTACTCCCATACGTCAGAGGGACCACGGACCGCATCAGCAAAATCCTGAGCAAACACAACATCAAAGCGATTTTCAAACCTTTCAACAAGCTCTCACAAATGCTCCCCAATCCCAAGGACCGGAGACCCCCTTTGACAGCTCCAGGGGTTTACAAGATCCCATGCTCCTGCGGCAAAGTGTACATAGGAGAAACCGGGAGGAAGATTAGTACACGAATCAAAGAACACCAGCGATGTGCCAAATACGGCCACTTCTCACAATCAGCTCTAGCCGAACACAAGATTGAGACCGGACACGCATCCAGTTCGACAAAGCCACCATGCTGGCCCCGTCCCAAAGCTATTTCGCACGAAAACACCGCGAAGGCATAGAAATCTTGAAACACCCTGACAATCTGAATCGCGACAAAGGCTATCAGGTGAGCCCGATATGGCACACCGCCCTCCCGGTTTTTTAAAAAACCGTCAGCCGGGATTGGCTGACTCCCCTCCCTCTGACTCCCCTTCCCCGTCATTGTGTAAAAAATATGCAATATAATACACATAATATTGCATATTTTTTCTATGTTATATTCTCTGTATACTATATTTACTCTGTAGTATACAGAGTATATCAAAAAAAATATATGAATTGTTGTTTCAATTTCTTTTATAGTTTATGAAAACTTTTCTTACTATGGTTTAGTAAAACACCAGTGGGTGCTATCTTTTTTGGACCATCTTTTTTTGGGAAACAGAGTCCGTACTGGTATGTTTTATAAAATAAACCAGCGGGTGCTGGGACTGTTCCTTTTTGAAGATGGAGTCCGCACTGGCTATGCCGGTGGGTGCTGGGACTATCTTTTTTGGGGAACAGAGTCCGCGCTGGTATGTTTTATAAAATAAACCAGCGGGTGCTGGGACTCTTTTTTTGGGAACAGAGTCTGTGCTGCATTTACTAAACCATAGTGCATACAAGAAAAGTTTATATGTATACGTATTATATCAAGATTCTTTTTCTTTTTGTGTGTGTTTGTATACTTTCTCTGCATTATTTGAAAAAAGAAGTTAAAACAAGTCAAACATCTTATCTCTATTCACGTATGTCGCGTGTGAAAATGATACATAAAAGCATATATTTTTCCAGAGTACGTTCTGGCTACGTGCTCTAGAGATACATGTTGACTCAAACGATTGCGTGAAAAATTAAGTAGATTTAAATTGATGAAATACAGGTAATGCGATATATATTATCCCTGCGTCCCAATTTGCTTTTCTACAGAGGCCAGAAGCAATCTGAGGTCACAGATTTATGTATCGTAAAATATTGAGAAATGAAGTGAATGTAGAAATTTCTATATACCTGTCATTTAGGTAAAGGGGTACTGATACATTGTATATATGCAATTTCGGTAAATTTATCAAACGGAACGAAAAGAGAGAAGTAACTAAAAAATTTTTTTGTTGTGTCAAGACCATTTTATAATGACACATCCTTTAAAAAAACGACGAAATTTTGTCTCACAGTTGAAAAGCGAGGGAAATATAAATTTCTGTACACCTATATTCTTAAGTTCTCTTCTTCAGAAATGTTGTGTTTTGTCAGGCATTTTGGATTAATGCTTGGTGATTTAGTTCCTGAGGATGTTGAAAGTTGGCATCTTTATTTAAAACTAAAATCTATTGTAGACATAGTTTCGACACCTTGTGTAAACCTTCGATCACTTAGTTACTTGAGTATTCTTATTTCAGAATATCACGAAAGGTACCTTACTGTCTTTCCCAATGTTACACTCAAACCTAAGCATCATTATATGCTTCATTATCCTCAAGTCATGCGTCGAGTTGGTCCCTTATGGCCTATCTGTTGTCTTCGATGGGAAGCCAAACACCTCTTAAACAAGCAGCTCATGCTACAAATTCTCGCAGAAACTTGCCTTTGACTTTAGCGATTAAACATCAGCTGAATTTGTGTGCCAGATTTATATCTCAAAAGCCTCTAGGTGAGAAATATTGTTTTGGAGTTAAAGAAGAAGTTAGTATTAGAGATAGTAAAAATTATCAATCATTTCGTGATATTCTGCCTTATCTATCTAAGGATTTAGATGAAATCATAAATGTATTCTCATGGATCAGAATTGCAGGTACTATTTATAAGAAAGAAATGTGTGTAGCTGTAACGTTCCACAAAGACACTGGTTATCCTGTATTTGGTCGAATAAACTTGATCACGTATTGCAAAAAATCTAATGCTGTATATTTTCTTTTATGTATGTTTGAAACCGTGGATTTTGTGGAACATCTTTGTAGTTATGAAGTGATCGAAGGTTTACTTAAGGAAGCGAGAAGTCCTTCTAGTTTTAGAACATTCCGTCATGCGTTTGTGTAAAAAATATGCAATATAATACGCATAATATTGCATATTTTTTCTATGTTACATTCTCTGTATACTATATTTACTCTGTAGTATACAGAGTATATCAAAAGAAAATATATGAATTTTTGTTTCAATTTCTTTTATAGATTATGAAAACTTTTCTTATTATGGTTTAGTAAAACACCAGTGGGTGCTATCTTTAAAAAAAACGACCAAATTTTGTCTCATGGTTGAGAAGCGAGGGAAATCTATACACCTATATTCTAAAGTGTACAAAGTATTATATTATATGTACATATATATA